TTAATTGGATGCCATCTTTGTTATTTACAAGGGGATTGCAATGATAAATTACAGTCAATTTTGAGCCAGTGCTTCCTCAATGATTGGTTAGTGCCATCTGAAACAAGTTCATAGAAGTTATTTGAAATGCTCTAGGTTGTCCAGCTGCTAAATCAGCAGAGGAAGAAAACCACCACGCACGTTATTTCTGAAATGCTTTGTCTGCATACTCTCAGCCACACCACACATGCTAATGCTACTTTTAGCAAGAAGACTTTTAGAGATGCTGAGGCCAAGTTGCTTTTTAAATATCAAAATGTGTGTTGGACTGTGCTGCAAAGGTGATTTTTCTGCTCTCCACTGTTCAGCCACAGGAATAAGATGAGGTTATTCGCTTTCCTTCCCACTACTTTCAATTTAAAGCCATGACAGGCACCTGAAAAGTGCTTGATATCACTGATGACTTGAGTTCCAATGATTTGTGGCTTGTTTGTGATTTGTGTGTGAGGTGAATTTAGTAAACATGAAGATCTTTCTTCATTGGAGCTTGTTTCCTGGAAGGAAAGAAGTGAAGCTGTGTAGGTGTGTTGCTTTTTTCACAGGACTGTTAGGGTACAGTTTAAGCAATAAGAGCGGACACGCTCACACTAGGAAGGAACACAAGGATTTTTAATTCACTGCAGCTAGAAACGGTTCAGTGAGAGGAGTGGATACTGGATCCAGTAAAATCTGGGATAACCAACTACTTGGTTGGGGTTTTTTGTTGAGTTGGGGTTGTTGGTTTTTTGTTTTTTTTGGTTGGTATTTCTTTTATCTAGAATGAGCAATGGAAACAGAGCTGAAGTTTTTATCCACTCCAGCTACTTCTGATGGTCAGTTAAGTGACAGGAGTTGTAGAGTAAGCCCAGGAGCTACATTCCAAGCTAGTGATTACTTAATATATATATCTCTCTAAATATGTTTTCATGCTTGTACAAGGGGAAGCAGAAAGCCAACATATAAGACCAGGTGAATGAGAAGCAGATGGCACCCATGACTGAACAAGTTGAAGTCAGCTATTTGACAAATCTGTACATATCTGGATCATATACCTGAAATCACAATTTAAAGAACTCTTCAGTATGTCAATGCAGCAAAAGTCTTTGGGTATTTTTCTAAAAAGCCTCAAGCTGGAGTGTCTGCAGCACTGAGACACATTTGTGAGCAAACAGTTGATACAAAAGACACCCAGGAGGTGATATTTGATGAGTGCAGCAGATACTTCAAATACAGCATGTCTTCAATTAGAGTTCAGATGGGCAATCAAGTTATTGTGGCATAAAACTTTTTTACACTTCAGCTGAGCTATAATGACTATTTGTGGGCATGTCTGTAGTCCTTTGAAAATTACAGTGCAGGGACAAACAACATCCTGATCTAAATGGTGGATGAAGAAGGTGTGCAGCTGTCGAATGTGGTATCGCTTTGTGTGTGCAGCCAGGCAGGTAAATGAAGAGGCTTAAGCATCGTTAAATCCATGCCTGACTTAGCTCAGGCAACAGGCTAAACTACTTCTCATTTCTTCACAGTTGGTCTTGGCTGAAAGCAGGCATGGGGACAGCTGCTGTTGCTCAGTTAATGTGCAGTTAGCCTGTTCCTCCAAATAGTATATGAACTTAGAGAACCGTTCCTACCACCTAAACCCACAGCATACATCCTGCATAGTCATTTCCTTTGAAAGTTAGATTTAAATATCAAGAAATATACTTTTGAGTCCTCTGGTCCAGAGATGCAGACCCACATACACAGATTCAGAGGCTCCATTCTGGCAGCATCTGGACTCTGGCAGAGGGTCTGTCCTTAATGAACACTTCCTTTTACTGATAGCCTTAGGGCTCATCACAGGGGAAAGAAAAAAAAAGATAACAGTATTGTGTTCAGCAAAATGAGTCCTGCAGCAGGTTCTTGGCAAATGGCTAGGCAGAAGATTTAAAGCTAAATATGGAGCATTGAGAAAAAGGTTAAGCTCTAAGTTTAAGTCATGTTCCTCTCTTCTAATAATATTTTTCAGACTTGTGGATTCACAACTAATTTTGATGCTGAAGTGACTTCAGAACATTAGTTGTGCCCACTTCAAATTTTCTTCTATTTGCTCTGCTGCTCTTAGTGGTGAAAGAAAAGATTTTTTTTCCATCATCACCCTAAATCCCTTTAGCTTCATATTTGGAAAATATTATAGAGTTCATTAAAAATGCACTTTTGAGGGGTATTTCTTATTCTGAGTATTCTGTTTATGATTTCACACATGAAAAGTTTGTCCTAATTGTTTCACATTTAACACTCTTTATGCTTAAAAGAACAGTGTTAAAAGTGAAACACTCATTTTTTTCTCAAATGAGTTGCAAGTGGCTTCATTCCAAATTGCCACATTTGGTATTAGTCAACTCTTTTTCTCAAATAACTTAGTTTTTGTAAAACAGGAGAACATCTGTTAGGACCTTTTGTCTCATAGCAAGCTTACCTATCATATATTTTACTTTTCACAAAACAGAGGGTGATGCCAGATAGCAGGGCATAAAATGGGTAGAGGCAGATTGAAATTCCAAGTATTCCTACTGGAATTCATCATATATTTGACAGTATTCTGGTTGACTTTCCAGTCATACAGTCTGGTATGACTTTCCAGTCATATCAGTGGCTGGAGTAGAAAGCAAAACTTACAGGAACTGGCCATTATATCTACATAAATACATGTAAGTATAAGTGAAAACTAGTCTAAATTACAATATGCATCACAAACTACCAGCGTCTGATTTTAACAGTACTGGCAATGCTATGCTGCCAAGAGTTTGGGTATAAACTGTAGGGCAAAGATGCATAGTTCAATCTATAATAGCTTTCTGTGGGAAACACCCATTGCCTGAGATTTCTTTGAAGTAATCCTTTGTAGCGCAATCCTTTATCCCATCCATAGCAGGTTTTCATTCAATGATCTCCCTAGGCTTTGCAAAAGAAAGTGTTAATATCTGACCATAGCAGGGATGAGGTGAAGTAGCCTCTTCCAAAGCTTGAGGAAAATGGCAAGGGAGAACGAAAAGCGTAAGGAATTTACATCAGTGACCATCTTGGTTCTGAGCTTTTAAGTCTGCAATATTGCCAGTTTCTTGGCTAGAGGGTTTCTTCCACCAGGGAAGGTGAAATGCATGAAGCTGACTGGCTCCACTGCCCTGGCACTGGGACTGGCTGCACCTGACCAAGACAGTGCATATAAGTGCTCTTCCTCAGCCTTTCCTTGCTACCACCATGTCAGGGTTGGAGGTATCATGAGTGCTGCAGTGCAAGGCAGAGGACATCACTCTCCATGTAGACATCACCCACCTCCTTGTAGAACTCAAGGGGCTCAGTAATGGCATGCGGGGAAACTGAAGCTGGTTCTCCCCCATGCCTTAGATATATGGCTCAGACCTCTTTGTCTTTGGAGCTGTGTCTGCAATACACTGTACTTCAACTAATTCCATAGCATAAATGTTGAAAAGGCTTTTTAACTTGGAAGCATTGGTGTGCAAATGTGGCTGTGCCAATTCCAGACTTTCACTGCTAATGAAGTCTTCCCATGCTGCTTGCTTTTTAGAAACTTTCCTGCTTAGGCCTTTGCTATATGAAAAACTTCTGTAGATATACGCTGAATATGTCATACCCACAGGGTAAAATGACAGCACTGAACAGTCAGATGCTAATATACTGTTAGTTAACTTCCCCACTTAGTCGTCTGCAGCATGGAGTCTGACATCTAATTAGTGCAAAACCCACCAGTCTTGTAAAACTGTCTTCAACCCCTATTGCTAATATCACTTCAGCAGGTATTAGTCATGGTGGGATATTATATTTACAACTATGTGTTCATTACTAAATTTCAAATTCCTGCAAAATCGGAGTGGCAGCTTCTTACAGAAGTCCCTCATATCTGTACAGGAGAACCTGCTCCTTTGAGAAGAAGTGATACTGTCATCTATTCTACATGCATGTTAAAAGATGAGGGGTTGAACTAGCTTCTTCTAGTCATAATGCTATTCAGGATTTATAAATTCAAGAGGGCCTTGTGCTGGTTAAAGGGACACAAACCCTCAAATTAGCAGTAGGTTTGAAATACGTTTACAGTAAGAGGTATAAATCACTGGTTATTCACGTGCCTTGCTACTCTAGACTTGCTGTTGGTTCAGCTCTGCCCATTACTGACTGACTTTTGTTGGCTTCACTGAATGATTTTTACAGTGCACACATGATTAACTGTGTGTTAAAAAGCAAGCAGGAACAATGACAGCACCAGAAGTGATTTCTGCTCACAGCAGAATACGAAAGACAGGAAAAGAGGGAGAGTATTATAGTCTAAACCAATGTGACTGACCCACGCTTACTTGGAATGAATGAATAAGTACAAATCTGACTTTCCAAATATTTTTTTTAGTGTGGCTCTAGAAGAACTTGGAAGTTTGTCAATATGATGGGTATTTCATGAAAGGTGCAGTCTCAGGCTAAAAGCTCAAATATTTCTTAGCCAAATGTTTCTTAAGGAAAAAGCCTTCCATCAAAAAAGTCTGTAGCTGCCAACACAGCCTACAGAAGATATACATGAAAGACAGGGACTGGGAATTATGGGGGAGCACATGTTTTCTAATGAGAAAGTTCTGTATTCTAGAATCTTCTTTAATTTTGAAATGCTCCAGTTCGAATAAAAAATACCAGAATGTTTTCCTTTCTCTATCTAAATTTTAGTAAATATAGAATAATAAATGTAAACCAATTTAAAGTATATTCAGTTTCCTTCCTAAAAATCACCAAGTGTGGTAAAATATATTTTTCTTACTTATTATCAAAGGGACCTATGCTTAATTGATGCTACAGTGTATGAAGAATGTAGGATTTGGCTCTAGTGAGACACAGTGCTGTTGTGAGCTTATTTTTTTAACCCACACTGTTGTTTCTCTGTGGTTACTTGTAGCAACTGCATAGACAGATATAATCATGGCATGAGTATTCCTTACCAGCTCATTGCTGCCATCCTCATCAAAATCCTCCTCTATCCCATCAGTCATATCTTCTCCATCCCCATCTGCATCTGGCCCTCCTTCAATTGGCTCTTCCGTAGAATTATCTGCATTCTCTGATATGCATTCCTCTTGAATCAAATCAGCATTATCTTCCATTTGTTTCTTTTGAGCTTCTGTAAGGAAAACATACTCTATAGAGATTCAGTAACCTTCCCTACTGGTGGCAAAGAAAAGTGCTCTGAGGAAGAAACCTAAGCTTCCCCTCTCCAGATGTGCTAGCTTTGTAAACTTCAGTGTGTTAAAATCTACCAGGCAAATATGATAAACCCCCTTGTTTAAAAAAAAAAAATGCACAAGTCAATCTAGTGCAAACATGCTCATCTATCCCATGCAGTAGCTGAAGGTGTGATTTACCAGTGGATCCAGCTTTCTGATTTTCTGGACTTTGCCTCGGGAATTCAATTGGCTTAGTCACTATATATGTATTTATTTGCAGCCAATGAGAAGTACATAAATCTCTATGCTCTGAGAAGTGGAAGGCTGTTAATTTCCAATGAGTGAACAAAGATTTGCATAAATTTGTTGTGAATATATCTCAATAACCACACAAATCAAATCCTTCTAGACAACTGAACATATTTTTTATATTTTACATATGGACTAAAGTAGCCGTTTCTCCTTGCTGGTATAATGTGCTGAGGTAAATGGAGAATGCCCCTTCCAATTACTCAACTATAGGCTTCCTATAATTTCTGCAAGGCAGTGAAAAGGAAGACAATTTCCATGGAGGCCCAGAGGATCTGTTCCACTTGGTTTAGCTCAGATAGCTGCATTGTTGTGAATATGCATTGTAAGACGCCTGGATACACTGAGGAGTTTCATCCAGCCAGCAGAAATCCAGAGGAGGATTGAGGGAGGAATGACAGAGATAGTGGCCAGAATGGTTTGAGGGATCAGTCTTATGCATATCAGGAGTTAGATGAAGAGCTTTACGTACTCAAAGTGAATATGGGCCAGAGAATTGGTTGCATGTAGCTGAAATACCAATGTCTTTTCAATCTGAGAGTGACAATATATTTCTTTGTTAGATTAACTGCTCTATAATGCTAGTAGCACATCACCTATCTTGTCAGACAGCCAATGAATCTGCAGATTCCCTGAGAAGCTCTATATTTTGAGAAGCTCTATGAAGCTCTCTATTTCATAGAGAAGCTCTATGAATATATTATTATTATTTTACTATTAATTCTTACCAACTGCCGATAGTATTCAAATCTGCTCATACTTTTTTTTATCATAGTCTTAAACCAAGAAGTTTGCTTTCCCTTCTGCCTGTGCACATTTAATTTACAACTTACTTTCACTTCTTCAGTCTGTCTCTAGTCCCTCGTTTTCAAATTCATTAGCTGAAGACATAGAACAATTGAGCTTTTATCCCTTAGTCATATAATTTCTTCAGAAAGATTCTTGGACTTAAAGAATAAAAATAATCTTACATAACTGCTTCAACAGTAGTCACACACAGTAGTAGAAGATTCAGTCCATGAAGCCTCATAATCTATATGTGTAAGGTGGTCTATAAAATACCATACTAGTTATAAATTATTGTGTTACTTGTCTTATGCACAAGGAAATGTGGATGGAATCAGCTATGTCTATGTCCTGCCACACCACCTTCTGCTTCAAGTCACTTTTGAGATTAACCCATCTGTGGCAGTGACACACTGAATCAACTTTGGTCAAAGCTTTCAAAAAAGGTTCCTGAAATGATGGACTTAATACTTTCAAAGGGAAAACTTTTAGGATACAACTGCTAAAAAATTAGGTCACTCAGTTAATTTTCTGAATGAGAACTTATACTGGCTTCTTCAGAAGAGTATCAAATACCGGCTCAGCATCTAACTCTTGGGCTCTTCTGAGAAGCTAACCCTGTGATCCTACCTTTCAGCATCCAGCTCTGATATTACAGAGAGAATATTTTCCTTTACTATATATATATATATATATATATATATATATATATATATATTCACATCATAACACATTCTTATCCCTGGGTTCGTAATTCAGATTTTTACAAAGAAGCTATTCCTGAAGTTTCTGTGTATAGAGGAAATCCTTTTATCTATAGCCCCCTACTAGAGTGGTCACTTAATAGTAAAAGATAGAACATCAGCTATAAGAAGTTTTCACACAGGTGTAGAACAGTAACCAATGTATGCACTGAACTTGTCCCGCTTGTCTGCTTAATGTATCACATTCTTCCAAATGTATAACTGTTAAGATTCATAATTAAATATTTTTTCTGAAAGAGATGCAAACTTAAAAACCAAAAGGGCAAGATGATGTCTCAGTTTTTTGTTGTGTGCAAATGAGACATAGATCCTCTCTCTGATCCCAGTCTAATGAGGCCGCACCTTCTGGCAGAGGAAAGTAAGAAATAATATTGTGAAATCATAGAGAAGGAACAAAATCATCACACATCTGACACCGTAAATGAAATAGTTTAGCTACTAATGTAGCTTTCTCTTTAAGCTGAGGAAGCAATCATCTGCAGACTAATCACCCAGGCTGCATAACCCTCTTTATCAGCTCAGGAGGTGTAAATGAGGATCCACGCTTACTGGTCTCTCTGAGGTGTTTTTTCTCCTCATACCCTCTTATGGGAAAAGAAATATGGGGGACTAGTTCTGCACCTGATGTTTTAAAACATCAACAATTTGAAATCAGTTTTTAATCTCTGAGGATATTATTCAATGCTTGTCTTCAAAAGGCATAATAGTATGATTCAATACAAATCAACTTTTCCCTCTTTGAGCTGATTTCTATTTAAGTGAGTTCAATACAGTCCTTTAGCAAAAATGAAAATTGGATATCAAAGTACAATAAGATGCAGGTTGTTTTGCATAGTAATGGATTTTATATAAAAGCTACCTGAAGTAGGGATGCACCATCTCAGAGCATTTCAGTACACAAGTGATTCAAAGGAGTGCCTTGCAATTACATCTTCACTGATTATACCAACTTTTATCTAACTTGCATAAAGTACAAAACAAAATATAATGAATACATATTGTGCATGGTTTTCCTGAAAGAGATAATCACATTCTGTACTAATGGTTTACCTTAGACTTGCAAAAAAGCACTCAGCTTATTTTATGGGATAAACTATAACAGCTGAGGTATTGGTTCTTGTCTATCAACTTAGAAAATTACTGTAAATAAAAGGCAGAGGGTTTTTCAGAGCTGGTTTTGGTTTTCTGTTTTGTTTTGCTTGTGATTTTTTTTACTTGTTTGCTTATTTAGTTTTTTTTTATTTGTTAACCACAAAATATTTTTCTGTAGTGCTCTGCCGTAGGAAGATGTTCATTAGAGCTACTTCTAAATGTGAGAGAAGGTTCAGAGAGGTACTTCCACAACAGATCAGGAAATAGGGCAGGCACTTGGGAACAGGAGGGATTCAGATCTAAATATCTATTTTGCCTGCATCATGTGCAAGAAGCTAAACTGCTAATTCCCACAAATGTCTTAGATAGTCTTGATGGAACTCTCTTTGTGTCCTGTTGGGTCTTTCTGGCTTATCACATACCACATAATTCAGTGTGATATGACATATATCACATAACTTATGTGATCAGTTATCACATAATGGATTTGAGTTATGCAAGGGACACAAATCTGATGTTCAGACACCCAGGCAGCTGTGGATTATGAGGCAGAATTTCCTTCACATATTTCACACAAAACACATAAAAAGTTTTCATCAGAGAATGAAGGGAGAAAAAAAAGAAACTTTGAGATTTTTCATGAAAAAAGGTTTCCTTTTCCCAGCTAACTCTCATCAAAATCAGCTTGCTAGTACACAGCTCCTGTACAGGGATATACAGTGATTTATAAGGAAATAACTAAAGAAATACCATAGACAGTGGTAAGAACTGAGATTGTTTTTTATATATGCTGTGGTGAAAATACAAACTCATAAATCCCTTGTAAGTACTAAGCAGAGCTTTAAAGCGCTGCCAGGTGAGATCATTCATCTAACAAAATGACCGCTGTAATGACAGAAATAGATACTGATTAAATTAAAAAGTAGTGCTGGATTTTCTCATTCCCAAGGTTCGCCTCAAAACAAAACATTTCAAGCCAGAGAAAAGCTGACCTTGACATGTTGCTGGTTTTATAGAGACGCCACAGCTTCACACAACAGTTTGGGTTGGAAGGGATCTCTGGAGTCTTCAAGTCCAACCGCTCTTCAAAGCAGGGCCAAACTCAAAGTTTGGTCCAAGTCCATGGACTTTTGGAGTTCTGAATGCTTGCAAGGCTGGAACAGCCACTTTATCTCTGGGAAACCTGCTATTCTGCTTAGTTGCACTTCTTTTCCTTATATCAAACAGGAATTTCCCTTGCTGCAACTTGTGACTATTGCCCAGGCAATAATTCCTGGTATAGACCATTTTACAATTCTGAATGTGGATAGCACAACATCCTCGGAGTCAACAACCTTTAACTTAAATCTCTCCAGTCATTTTTTAGTGACATTTTTTTTCCAGAACATCTACTAAGAACTTTTATTTCCTTTTCTTTTTTTTTTTTTAATTTTTCTACTGCACAGTACAAAACAATTCTTGAAATTATGTTGCATGCTCTGTGAATAATATAAGTTTATCCTCCCAATAATTCTACCTGAGAATTAATTTACCTTGCTTTAGACCTCCATTATGTAACAAAATTTCTGAAAGGATTGCATTCTCTTTGGTCTGTCTGACTAATAACTAGGCTCTAATTTAATTCATTTGACTACAAATTGCTTTCACCTACCTGCTTCAGCTTTTTGCTGCTTTTCAATCTTTTCCAGTCTCCCTAGCAAGGAGTCAATTTTTGTTTTGATTTGGGTTAATTCCTTCTTGATTGTTTGCAACTCATCTGATTTCACTGTGGAAAGAGAGCAAAGATGTAAAACATGAAACAAACTATATTTGTAGTCCCTCCTGAACAAAATATGTTTCTTTTCTTTCCTCTGTAGTACCCAAAATCTACTGTCTCATTTCTGTCAGTATTTTTAGAATCATAGAATCATGGAACAGTTAGGGTTGGAAAGGACCTTAAGATCCTCTAGTTCCAACCCCCCTGCTGTGGGCAGGGACACCTTTTATTGATTTAACTTTTAAAATGAACAGTGTTAGTTAAAAATGGTGAATCCTAGGAAATCACAGAGTTCTAAGCCCTAATTGCAAGAGATTATGTGAGGTATATTGCTTTGTAATAAGCATTTCAGGAAAATGTCTCAAGGGCATTCTTAGTATTTCCAAGTAGCTGTTACTGAAAAAAAGCCTGTAATGAAAGAGTGATTCAAATATGACAGACAGTTCACAATCTTGCAATGCTATTTTGCTGGACTATTTTGTAATAACAGAGACAATAATAAAAAGTTCCCTCACAGTAGTAGTAGTTATTTTTCAACAAGTGTGAATAGTAACATAAATTCTAGGGCAGCCAGGAATGCAATGTTACGTTCCAGTCAACAGCTTCATTGCAATAGGTTCTAAGTATTATTGCTTCAAAAGCTTTCAGTTCTGGTAGTTTCTTGTACTTTTCCCAGCTATGGATATCATATAAAAATACTTATTTTTATGATCGCATCCAGTGACATGGAGGCATTGACTATAAATGAAGTGCTGAAGTTTCCAAATCTGTGTTGTGCTGCATTGCATTACTCTTTAATTTATGTGCATCATTGCTCTCTCATTGTCTAACACAAGAAGGAGGACCTGACTTGGTGGTATTTTGTCTTCAGAAGAAACAGCTCTGCAGTCCTCATAAATGACCTTATGACATGATCAAGATATATTTTTATGCTCAGAAGACAGTCCAAACAAATCCACTTGCCCTGTCTGTGCTAAGATATCATGTTGAAAAGGCCCAGGGGAGAAAATGTGAAACCTGTGCTAGCATGGGAGATTAAAGTAATTTGTAAAGGTCAAGAGCGGGTAACACAACTGTCACTCCTACAACTCTTTTAGGAAGAACTGGACTATCACCTTAAACTGCGAGGGACTGGCAATGGAAGTGTTACTCCTCCATCCTTACCACTGCAGAAGGAGGGTGTGCATTGACTTGGTGTGTATATCCAGAGACTGGGAAAAGGGATGTTCTGCCATAGGAAAGGACATGTTCCTTTTCTGTCCAAAGGGTGTCCTGGCTGTAACTTGCCATATTAGTCCTGTTTATTAATTATTGGGCATGTGTCTCATCATGGTGTCTCATCGGTATTTTTTATCAGATAGTCAAAATCTTATGATGAAGTGTGCAGGCAAGTTACTTCATGCTTCAGTGATAGTAAATGAGTATGTGTTTGCATCAAAATCATCCTTATTGCAAACTTGGAGTACATTCACTGAGGTTGAAACCAAGGCTTTTTATCTTAGAGTTTGGACTGTGTGCATTATAGTTATAACAAGTCAGCTAAAAGCAGTAAGTTGCTACATGTGGTAATGAACTTGCTTAATTATGTGCATTAAGAAATTGTATATCTCACACTGTCATAGTCTGAAACCTCTGGTATATTAAATGAATGGTAGGACTTAAAGAACTAAGCTTAAAAGTAACCTTAGTGCTAGACCTTTATATGCTGTACAGTATTTGATGTTATTATTCTGTATATTTATAGAGCAAGGCTTTAAAGTGTTCTTAGAGAAATAACGGGTCACTGTCCTATCCACCAGATCTGTAACAAAATGCTAAGATTCTGACAACTGTATATTTAGAAGGTTACTGCTTCCCCAGGGGCACTGGCTGGTCCATGCTGGATTAGCAAGGCTGTGCAGATAACAGGGTGAAATAGCATGAATCTGTCCAATGGGGAACGCTAAGTGTTTGCTCCACTATGAAGCCAGTTGGCAACACATTCCGTGTGGCCAAGCTGTTATGTTAGAGGTGCTCCCTTGAAAGGCAAGTAGCAGGCTTGCCAAGGGTAAAAGATCAGAAGTGAGAAGTGACGCTGAAAGGATCTAATGGTATTTGTTCCCAGTATAGAAAGCAAAGCAGAAAACATTTGCACTTCTGAGTTCGATAGTGAAAAAGGCATATACATAGGATTACTGTTCAGCTGAGGTTTGACTTGAAACCCCTTCACAAGGGTTTCCCTGTGGTGTCTCAGTGAGAAATAAGTTTAGAAAGAAGACTGTACCGAGGGAACACCGGCACAACAGTGAGGATTCAATAACAAACAAAGATGCTATAAATGACCGAGGAGCCTTATTGCTAACTTGCAAAATTCCCCTATGCCAAAACCTTTTCCTCAAGCTGTGGCGACTGAATGTGTAACTTATCATTCACATTTAATGAGGAGATTCCATCATACAGTCAGTCACTTCAAGTTAATACTAAAAGGAACTGAAAGAAAAAAAGGGAAAAATTCCAACAAATCTGCAGAAGTTGAAAATTTTCACCCTGTTTCCAACATTGTGACAATGTAATTTTTTAAGGTGCTCATTGTCTTAACTTGCAGGAATTGTACAAGCCTTCTAAATCATTCTTCTAGAGAAATTCCACTCTCAGTTATACTGTAGGTATTTTCTGTAGTAATCAGCGATTGCTAAAGACAAGTTATGAAGTGTCCTGATGGGAAAAATACACCCTTGTGACAAAGAAGGCTGTCAGCATCTGTCCTGGGTTCAGCAGTAGCAGTCATGTTTCTCCTTCTTGCTAGCTGGTGCAGTGCAGTGTTTTGACTTTCGGCTTGGGAACAGAGCTGATAGCGATGTTTTAGTCTGACCAAGGACTTTGTGAGGCTCATGCTCTGCCAGGGAGGAGGGGAAGCCGGGAGGAAGCAGAGACAGGACACCTGACCCAAGCTAGCCAAAGAGGTATTCCATACCACAGCACGTCATGCCCAGGATGTAACTGGGAGTGAGCCGGAAGGGCTGGGAGACTGCAGGGTTGGAGGAGGTATCGGTCAGAGCTTGGTCAGGCCTTGGGGGGGAGTTATGGGTTGGCTGGTGATGAGGTGTTGTATTCTCTTCCCTTGTTATTTCCTTTATCATTATTATCATTGGTGGTAGCAGTTATACCTTAGTTACTAAACTGTACTTACCTCAACCCGTGGGATTTGCATTCTTTTTGACTCTCCTCTCCGTCCCTCCAGGAGCAGGGGGAGGGCAAGAAGGTGGGGGGGAAGTGAGTGAACGAATTGCCTGACTGGGTTTAAACCACGACAGCATCCTAGGCTGCATTAGGAGGAATGTTGCCAGCATATTGTCATGGTTTAACCATATGTGGCAGCTAAGCAATACACAGCTGCTTCCTCACTCCCTAAACTCAGCACCCCTCCCCCCCCCCCCCCTCCAGCAGGATGGGGAGAGGAAAATTGGAAGGGGAAAAGTGAGAAAACTTAAGAGCTGAGATAAGAAGAGTTTAATAGTTGAAATATACTACTACTACTGCTATTACTACTATTACTTATTAGAATAATGTAATGAAAAGGAAAATAGCAGAGAGAAATAAACCCAAAGAAAAACAACTGATGCCAGTGAAATATGTTTCTCACCACCAACTGATCAATGCCCAGCCAGTCCCTGAGCAGCAGCCCCTAGCCAACCTCCTCACTAGTTTATTGTTGAGCAAGATGCTATATGGGATGGGATGTTTCTTTGGTCAGTCTGGGCCAACTGTCCCAGCTGTGTCCCTTCCCAACATTTTGTGCACTCCCAGCCTGCTCACTGGCAGGGTGCTATGAGGAGTAGAGGAAGGACTTGACTCTTTGTAAGCACTGCTCAGCAATAACTGAAATACCTGTCAGTTATCAACACTTTTTTTTTCAGCATGAATCCAAAACATAGCCCCGTACTAGCTACTATGAAGAATATTAATTCTACCCCAGCCAAAACCAGCACACCCCTCAACACAGCACTTCTGAGGTGACATCTGAAGCATTGTGTCCAGTTCTGGGCTCCCTGGTACAAGAAGGAATGAAGACAAAGACTCTTCTCAATAGTGTCCACTACCACATGAAAGATAATTGGCACAAATTAAAGCATGGGAAGTACCATCTAAACACAAGAAAAAGCTGCTTTTTTTTTTTTTTCCTTTTTTCCCTGTGTGGGTGGTCAAATGCTTGCACGGGTCACACAGAGAGGCTGTGGAGTTTCAACATTTAGGGATATTCAAAAGATGCCTGAGTACAACCCTGTAAACTTGCTGTAGATGGTCCTGCTTAGTCAGGGCAGTTGGACCAGGTGAACTCCAGAGGTCCCTTCCAAACTCACAGAATCTCAGAATCCCAAGGGTTGGAAGGGACTTCAAAAGATCATCTAGTCCAACCCCCCTGCAAGAGCAGGGTAACCTAGAGTGCATTACACAGGAACTTGTCCAGGCGGGCCTTGAATATCTCCAACGTAGAAGACTCCACAACCCCCCTGGGCAACCTGTTCCAGTGATCTGTCACTCTCACAGTAAGAATTTTTTCCTGATGTTCACATGGAACCTCCTATGCTCCAGTTTACACCCATTGCCCCTTGTTCTATCACTGGACATCACTGAAAAAAACCTAGCTCCGTCATCCTGACACTCACCCTTTACATATTTGTAAACATTGATGAGGTCACCCCTGAGTCTCCTCCAAGCTAAAGAGACCCAGCTCCCTCAGCCTCTCCTCATAAGAGAAATGTTCCATTCCCTTTATCATCTTTGTAGCTCTGCGCTGGACTCTTTCAAGCAATTCCCTGTCCTCCTTGAACTGAGGGGCCCAGAACTGGACACAATATTCCAGATGCGGCCTCACCAAGGCAGAGTAGAGGGGGAGGAGAACCTCTCTTGACCTACTAACCACACCCTTTCTAATGCACCCTAGGATGCCATTGGCCTTCTTGGCCACAAGGGCACATTGCTGGCTCATGGTCATGCTCCATCCACCAGGAACCCCAGGTCCCTTTCCC